TACAGTGTATGTACTTGCTATTTGACTTATTTATGAAACAGCCTATACTTGATTAGTACTATTGTCACCTTAAGATATTTTTTTTGCCTATACCTCTACCAGCAGAACTATAGAATAGGCTTCAATTATTCTATCCTTAATGGTCACACAATTTGGGAGTTTTTGGGATCTTTCATTATTACCTGTAAATTAAACTTACTCATTAAAGTGGTATTCCCACTCTGCATAATGTTTAGTTCTCTGAAAACATAATGGCTTGAAAATTATAGTTTAATTATGAGATGCTAAATGTAGTGCTACTATAGCCTAATACCTATCTGCCAAATTGACCTTACAATAGAGTAAATGGGCTACTTAACATTTCTGTTCATACAGCATTACAACCTGGTTTGGTGATGGCCAGTGGGTACAACAGAAGATACAACATAGTAATGAAGCTGTGAAGTTTTTAATAATTACTTTTTTCACCAATACAAGCACTTGAACCATGTAAATATAGAGTAACATACATAAAATGGTATTAAGAAAATTTATCTACACTTACAAACATTGGATAAATTTCGAATGGCTGGTCAACTATGTAACTGTATTCATGTTCAAATACATCAGGCAATGCTTTTTTCATGAAATACAGAGATGGCATCTCCTCCACTAGAATCTTGCAAATTAGATTTGTGTAGTGTACTCTGTGATATGAGGAAATAATAAAAAAAATCATGAATATGAATATATTTTCAAATCAATTGTTGGTTGGTACAATCTCACTGGAAACCTAATTAGAAAAATGGGAAAACAAATAAAGAATATTCATCTGAAAAGAAACATTTGTTACTTTTTCTCAAAAGTAACAAATCAACAATACCAGGTGAATAAGGAAGCAGTGTGACCATTTGGCTTCAAAGTTGATGATATCAATATGACTGACTGCCAGACTTTTTAAATCATTTCTTAATGTATGCATATATATTATTGTCAACTTTTAACAGTTTACATGTCAGTAAATGGTAACCTTAATGTGGCAAAAACATTTCATTTCAATGCTAATTTCGGTTTGCTTCAGTCAAAGTGATTGAATGAAAGTCTTGCCCTATTATTATTGCATAATTCTGATGTTACATAAATCCGAGGCACTTGGACTTTCTATTACTTTTACCTTGATTTACTGCAGACCAGGTAATTGTGAACTTCTTTTGCTATGTCACTTGTCATTTAATAAACATAATTACTGTGCATCAAAGTGCATACCTTAGTTGTTCATGTTCTGCTTCAGATGCAAAAAAAAATCGTAGGATCTGGTCCATCAACTGGCACAGTTTTTTGCTTGTCATCTAAACACATTAGGTCAATGGGCGTTACCCTATCAATCAACACTGTCCAGTGTGTGTAGTGGAAATCTCTATTTCCTTTTCCTATTCTCATCTAGAAAAAATAAAATTCTTAAAGGATATAAACAGAAATAATTCAATCCTAATTAAAAATGCCTAAAATTTACATGGTTAAATACTGATATTTTGTAAAAAGGTGTACATGTCTAAATCTCTGACGAAATGAAACCAGCACTGTACCTACCTGGTTAGTAACGATCCTTCCATCAATGTTGTCCACTGTCACCTTTAGAGTCCTGCCTGTTTTAAGGGCATCTACAACCCCTTTACCACTCAATTTGCCAACATCATCTAAGAGGCTCATCTTACTTGGTTCTGGGACACTTAAGAGCACTAAATATGTTGAGTAGCTGAAACAAATTTGTAAAGACTAGTGAATAAATATCAGAACTCTAGATTAAACGCCAAACAATCCTAAAGTTGTATTGTCTTCTATATTTAGTTGAAAGCCCTTTGTAAACAGGTTAATTTGAGCACTTGACCTAATCCAATAAATGTGTCATTCACAAGAAATCTGGGATGAAATGTATGGGTTGTGACTGAAAAATGACTAAGTTATTTCAGTTTTGAGACTATGAAATCCCATAATGCAACAGCGGGTAGTATACCAGCATTTGCTTAGGGAGTCCAGTTGCACATTAACAGTACAAACAAAAAAATGTGTAATAATACAGGGAAACTTGGTGAAAACACATTGTGATAATAGTGGACACTTGCCAACAATACAATAGTTTGAAGTGTCAGTATTTGAAATATTGAGTTGAGACTCCCTAAGTTGCTAAGAACTAAATCTTTTAAAATTGGCTGTTTTCAGGCTTTTTACTACATGCAGTGTAGTATATAACATATATTTTTGAAAAGAGGAAATGATAATTTTTTAACAAAAATTGGAAGACAATACAACTTTAATGGTTATTATATACAATAAGTGCAAGAACAGATAATATTTTATTACTGTTCTGTCCAAATTATTGGGAGGTAACAGCGATAATTAGTTAGAAGGGGAGCAGTGGTTTAGTTAGCTGGCATTGCTGCAGTACACTTTGTGTGCATTGATACAATCCAGTGAATTATTGTGTAACATTATTCATGTATGCAACAAACTATATTTTATCTCAATTTGCTCTACTTTGCAATTACCATGTAATTTTTAATGTGATTAACCAATTTTGCATGACCTAGTAAATCATATCCAATTTAGAGACCGACATAATAGTATACACTGTAAAATACAGTTATGTAGAGGACAGCAGTCAAACGATAAATAATAGTGCAAATATTCTTAGTGTTATACATGGACAATGCATAATCACTCAGTGAAAGCTGTTTAGCACAAGTATGAATTCTGTTAATGTAAGCTGTGCTTATTTACAACTGGTACAACACTTACCCCATTATCAGCATGATGTCTAATACATGCAGCAGTGATAATCTTCTGCATTGCCACCATCTGAGGGTTTCTACTGTGCATTGACAAGGCATAAATAGCTGCTACAGTGTAATCATTCCCTGGTAAAGTGTTATGCAGAGGGCTGCACAATGTCACAAGAAAGTCTCACACTAATGGACAGTTATCACTCATTTCTTTTATAACCCTTGTTAGAAAAGTTGTCTCGCAGAGATCATTAATGGGGCTTCGCAAAACACTTCTGTTTTTTGTGCTGCATAACCTGTCTAGACTTGTGTCTATTTGTTGTAAGGGTTGGACCATTTGATTTTTGAGGGGGGGAGGTCAGCTCAGTGAAAGGCAAATTTTTTTTTAATTTTTTTTATGTGTTTGGAGATTTTTTTTTTATCAGTAGGTTTGCTTGCAAATTTTTTTTTAGGAGTTCATCATATCCAACATTTTTGTTTCATTATCTTCAACGGAGGTAGCAAAGACTTGTTATTTTACTGCCAGGTGGGATGGATTGGTACTTTGATAAGGGTTGGTCCCTCAGACCATCATAAAACATCCATCCTCTCCTTCCATATCTGAATTGATAATGCATAGTCCCCGTTAAGTATTAGCTGTAGTCGATGTAAATGTTCAGTACAAGTGACATGTAGAAATGAAAGATCAATGTTTTTTTAACACTAACACAGATTATAGATTG